TTTGATGCAGCTAAGGCCCAACAAAATATATTTTTCACCACAGAAGTATCTAAATGCTTATAAATCAGATTTTGTGAGCATTGATTGAGTATTGATCTGTACAGGTCTGATCAGGACTGAGTTATCCTGACTGATGGCCTCTGAGAATGGCATGTTATTTCCTTAATTCATTTTATCTCAGACATTGAGTGTTTATGCACTTTACAGTTTACAACTAATCAAGCTGAACAAAAACCCGTCAACAGTAAGAGAGATTGATGGTGTCCTCTATTGCTTAATCTATGAGTTCTGGTTTCATCATCACCAACCTTTAAAATGTTTGCCTTCTTAGACTGAGAAGTCACAGATCCTCTGAAAGTTAGCTGTGGTTCCTGCAGGAGTTAATAACTTCTTACAGTCCTGCTGCAGCTCAACATCACAGAGTTCGTGAATGTCAAACTTCTGCTGCCTCACTCTGGGCTTCTCTGCTGAGACCTTTGCTTGGCAGGATAGATCAGAAGTTTTGCAGTCAAGGATGAGGGGGGAAGCCTCACATCCATGTGCCTGTGTTAGTAGTTACTTGATGAGCAATAGAATATGCAAACGAGTTTGGTCTGACAGAAGAAAAAGCAGTCTTTGAAGCTCGTAGAGTGCTTTACCGTTACTTTTACGGAGAATATATTTTCTGGAAGGTTATTAATTATATGTTGTGGTAGGATATTAAAAAGTGATTCAGGGAGTTGCATGTGGAGAGAGGAAATGATGGTGAAGTTAAATATCTTGGACTTGTGAGAGGAGGAGGAGAATAAAATTATGCTTAGGGAAGAGAAGAGATCAGAAAAGGCAATATGTCTCAGGGAAGAATTGTTTTATGTAGTATTCTGTTTATATTATTTTAGGTAATTTCATATTTAAGCCCTGGGAGATGGAAAAAAATATTGAGTTACGCTGACCTTATTTTAATCAATATGAAAGCAGTTTTCTAGCAATGTCTTCAATTATTTCTTACAGCCTGAGTTCTATCAGTACCTTCCTTTATGCTAGTTTTAATGTCTTTAGAAATTGTAGTAAGCAGTGTTATGGCAAGACCTGGTTGTTCTGAAAGACCAGCTCCTAATTTGTTTCACTCATGGATGATGGTGCCTTTTTGCCAGTAATGACAAGCTGAGGATGGTCTTGCTGTGAATACTAACGTTTACAACTTCTAAGATGCTGAAATCAGATTAAGGTTTTAAAAAGTTGTTTCCATTGACGTATGTGCAGAAGAGATGGAAAGCACCCAATTGTGCTGACTTACTTACAGTTTGGCAGAGTTGGTCTTTTACCTAATGCACAGATCTGAAGCTATCACTCCAACACATGCTAAAACAGTATTAATTCTGCTCAAGCATAGCACCAGTCATCACTTGGCTTTTGATAAAGTATCTGTGCTATTGGTACAAAAGTGTTTCTTATGTTAAAATAGAATGGTGAAAATTCTGTCTAGCTGTTTGAGTAATCTCACTGAATATGAAAATATCACCTGTGATTCTGGCATTGGATGAATACCGATTTCAAGCAGTAAAGACATTTGGAGTTGTCCATGTGAGTAGATTGTACGAGTGTGATTTTTATCTATCACTGAATTATTTTAGTGGCAGTCACTGGAGAATGAGAAGGTAAGTAATTCTGTATTAATGTGCTGACAGGGATTAGGGAAGACATGCACCTGTCTGTATGCTTCCCCATGGATGTCCTTCGCCCTTGCATGTGTTGTGTTTTGCTCTGAGACTTCTCTTGCCTATTACCCAGTGGAATAACAGGACAGTAAACCAACCATATCCAAAGAAAACCATCATCTTTGCAATAGTAGCATTGCTTTAAAGCATGAAAAAGAGAAAGTATCTAGAAATAAAATTCTGTTAAGTAAATATAGATATATAAATGTATGTAAATATTATCAGTAATGTGGGATAGTTTAAGAAATAGAGAAAGGATTTTTCTTCTCTATTTAGTTTAAAACAACTTACAAACTTAGTTTTGTATTTTACTGTTAACAGAATAACTGTTCTATTCTATTAGAAAAATCTCATTGTGAAAGAAGCCCAGAGAAACAGAAACTAAAAAAAACTTTGCCCAGTGCCACAAATGAGAGATTAGAGTGTGAAGTATGGTAGCTTTGTGCAAATGAACAGCTTCTTACTCAGGGAGAGGTACTGTCATTAAAAAAACTGACTGTCACGCATGAAGTAAAAATGTATCCTCTCTGGAGCGGCCTGGGAAAGGCTGTGTGCAACAGGACAGCTTCAGAAAGTTGTTTTCTGTTCCCTTTTCTTTGAGAAAACGTTGGAAGTAGCCTCTCAGTTGCCTCTACTGCATAGCTGAGTGCTGTAGGCAGAAATTCTCTAGAAGAAGCCAGCTGTGATTCAGAAATGAAGTATGTTAACAACCTTAACAGAAAAATACACCCTCTTGCTGTGTATCTTTGTGCTGCTGTAACAAAAGAACCCAGCCATTAAGCTCTATCTCAGATTTGTTACTAAGCTCTTGAGGACAGATTGAGGAAATGCCAGTACTTCACAGTCTTTTCTCATTTGTTTGTGTTGATGAAATATCTGTGTGGTAGGATTCAAAAATAAAAAATCAGTTAGTGGGTAGCTAGTTGACCTCTTTGGATACTGAAGAAGAGATGGTCTCCTGAGATTTATTGCTCTACTGTATTCTCTTTGTAATTTACTCTTTAGAGTAGTGCTTTTCTTATTTCTTCAAAAGTGTAGGGTTCATAAATTTTTGGTCTGGGAATTCCTTAATTTTGTTGTAACTATTTTGTCCCCATTCTGAACTCTGAGTTAGGAGAAAAGATGTGATAGCTCACACAACTGAGTGAAATATGCCTTTTAAAATATACATATGTATATATGTATATATTTAATGTGAGAGCTTCTTTATGCAATTTTGAAGATGAAGTGATTCTTTTGTCTTTGGTGGTACTCCTCACACAATTTCTACTGATTTGAAGACTGCAGTGTAGCTCTACAACAAAGTAGTTGTGAACATTGGAGTTGTACAAGTAAGTGTGAAGATTGTGTGTGCTACAAAGCAAATTCATAAGATGGGGGGAGGGGAATCAACTCTTTGAAAGGGTTGATATGTGTAGGACGAGGGGAAATGGTTTTAAGTTGAGGGAGGGAAGATTTAGGTCGGACATCAGGGGGAAGTTCTTTACAGAGAGAGTGGTGAGGTGCTGGAACTGGCTGCCCAAGGAGGTTGTGGATGCCCCGTCCTTGGAAGTGTTCAAGGCCAGGTTGTGTGGGGCCCTGGGCAGCCTGGTTTAGCATTAAATGGGGAGGTTGGTGGCCCTGCATGTGGCAGGGGATTGGAGATTCATGATCCTTGAGGTCCCTTCCAACCCTGGCCATTCTGTGATTCTGTGATTCTGTGACCAAAAATTTCTAATTACCATTTTCTTTGGAAAAAAATATGGTTGATGAATAGGTCTGACACTCATCACCGGGACTCAGATTTCTGTTGGATATCCCCGGTAGTTCTATGTGAGATAGCGTTTCATGCAGTATGAGGAAAAGGAAGCAAGTAGTTTATAGATAGAGAATATGTACATACAGAATGATATCAGATAAGTTGGTTTTTTATATTGTTTGCACTTAGAGATGAGTGACTCTATAGTTTGAATAATCAATTTCTCAGTACACTCAGTTTCCTACTTTGTCTATGTAATGTTGTTTGCTATGCAGTTTTGAAGAGCCTGGAGAAAAAAGATTTGTAGACCCTGAATAAAAAAAAAGCAAAGTATGAACCGTGAACTTTTTTCATTCTTCATTAATTAGTCAAAAATGTGTGCTGACAAGAATCATATAGCAAAAAAGACTGTATTAAAAGAAGGAAAGAAAAAAGATGAAGTAAAGAGGGTTTACTGCTGATGAAGACATACTGTTTAAATGAGCATATCTGTTCCATTTTCTGTACACTTAAGAAAGTTATCTGTCCTAAATAGTTAAAATTTTCCCACTGCTAAGGAAGTAGAGAGTAGTTGTCCTCGTTTAATTACCCAGAGATATCTTCATGGCTGCATTCCACATAATGGAAAGAGAACAGCTTCTTCCTTAGATTTATACAGAAGAAAGACTAGACACAGAGAAAAATAAATTAGTTTTACCATACTGCATAGCTATAATTATTGAGAATAGTATACTAATTATATCTTTCTGTGGAAAGATTAACTTTAACTTGATAGTGAAAAATTCTAATTCAAAATAACAAGAAGTACATCCACCTTTACACCACGAGAGCAACATGTTTGATTTCATGTATTTGTTTCTGAGCTGTTTATCTTAGTGTCAGTCAGATAGATTTCTCAAATTATGAAGTGTAACTCATTAAAACAACAACAAGAAAAAAAGTGGAATGTTTCCATGGAGCTAGCCTAGCTTTAATAATGTACTCAAGGGAAAGAACATCATCTTAAGTTTTTATGTGTGTGTGTTGCTATAAAGAAGACACTCTGTAATATTTTCCTATCATGCAGTTGGTCTGTCCTTTCTTTTTCCAGGGTTTGGAAGGCTATAATTTGATCAAATGGAGAACAGACTCCCTGTTGACAGTGAGGAAAGCTCAAACTTGTCGGTACTTCAGTCAGTGTTTCCAGCTTCTGAAGAGCTGGATGAAGGGTTGTTACTTTGTCTATTTACTGATTTCAGCCAAAGAAAGAAAAGTAGAACTATGTGTGTATAATTTTCTATGTGTATTTCCACACTCTTTGTGATTGCTTTTCTTATGAGATCTGTTTTTGAGGTCTTTTTCCATATATACATGAAACTGCTTGTATGTTGCTTTGCTGCTACTCCTTGCATTCTGAACTGCATCTTTTATGTAGCCCAAATTTCTTTGAACAAACTGTGAAAAAAAGGTGTTGCAGCTAAGGACAGTACCTGGATATTTAGAGTGTCTTCTGAAGATTCTTGGTGACTGGAATTTGTTTTTGTTTTCATTGTCACTCATGACAGTTGTCTTCTAATGTGTTACAGAGCCGGAGCAAACATCTGGAGAAAGTACATGTTGTTCTTGGAAGTAAATCCTGTGATTTGGACTCTCTTATTTCTGCTGTGGCCTATGCCTACTTTCTAGACAAGGTAATGAAAAAAAAACAAGAGAGAGTTTTTTTTCTTACAAGTTATTACCGACATCTTGCTGTTAAGTCAGTTAAGACATCCCATAAAAACCTCTGTTTTAGAAGTGATTGCATAAACAAACCTGCAGTATAAATTACGGATCTTTAAGTGACTGCTTTACTTAAGTCGTTGATTCATACGATCCTGGATGGATCATACCTCTCTTTTAGTTTTTGTTTCAGAGATAGCAATTGGAGGTCCATTCTGCTTGTGATCCTGTTGTGCTTAGTGTTGTGTATGCATACTGTAAAAGAAATACCATGAACTAAAGAATTTGATGTCTTAACAATTGCATTCAAAGAATATTCTCCACTTTTTGTAATAAGCTTCAGATGAATGGAATGACTTGTGTGCTCTACAGAAGTGGATGTTATTTTGCTGACTTCCATACAATCGGGAGTTTATTTAGATGGCAAAATAATTAGTCTAAATGTAAATATTTCTGGCTCTTCATCCCAATCCAGTGTCAGAAATGCAAAATTAGTCAAGTTCGGGAGGCAGAGTTTGACTAAGACTATCAGGGCTTCTTAAAGAGGGTTTCCATGAATTAAAATATTGTCTATTTGCATTTAAAGAATTTTGAAGAAAGCATCATATTTTCCTGAAAAACTTAAGTAAGATTTTCAGAAGTTAATAGATCATTTTTTCTTCTTCCTCATTTTGCAACAATTCTGCACGAGGAGCACACAGACAGAAACAAATAAAAAGAGCAGAAAGTGGTTCATAAAGAATGAAGTAAAAGGACAAAAATTTGACAGAAAATCCAAACTTTCTAGTTGCTCAGTCTGGTAAAATATGACTAATATAAATCAAGCCTTATTTCTTGCAACTCTCATAATTACGCATGTGCATTACAGGTCAGTCCTCCTGATGTTCTTTGCCTACCAGTCCTAAACATACCAAGAAGAGACTTCAGCTTCTTCACAGAGACAAGGTTTATATTGGAGGAGCTGAATATCCCGGAGTCATTCCATATCTTCCGAGATGAAATCAATTTACACCAGCTGAATGCTGAAGGGAAGTTGTCTTTAACGCTTACAAACAGCCACATGCTGACAAGGTATTGCATCTTTTATATAAGAAAATGGCTTACAGGTTTGACCTATTTTAAAAATCGTATTTTATGTTTTTTCTGAATTCAGATTGATATTGCTATGTTAGCACAGCAAAACAAACAAACAAACAAAAAAAGGAAGTTAAAATACGTTTTCTCTCATTATTTCTGTGATTATGCTTAATACATACACCAAAGTAATAATTGTTCCATTATTTTGGATCATTTCTATGACAACTTGTATTTTCGCATTGCTTGGAGTAAATATTTTAAATGTCCTTTCGTATAACCAGTAAACACAATACCTTTCTTTTCCTGCTTGTTAGTTAGTTTTCACTAAAGAAATTAAAGCTCTCTTGTTGTTTTGGAGGTGGCCACAACAATTGCAAGTGTATGTGCTGTTAAGGTTCTCCTAAAGAAAAACAGAAATTTGAAATGTTTACATCAGAGGCAACACTGGCTTTAAATAAAACTAATGTTGAATAGAAATTGTTGTAAATGTACCTAGCAACAGCTCATATTCTGCTTTTATATCATTTATGATTTTTGTTTGGCTGCTAGACTACTGAAATCCTTACAAACCACGGCATTTTTCTCAAAATGTCTCCCATGCCAGAGGCTGAGTTGCTGTATGGGAGCCCGTACACCTTAAGCAGGAAAGTTTATAAACCAATGGTGAACACAGGGAGCTTCTTTATAGTGGTCTGCCTCTCTTGTCAAGGGTGAAGAGCACTGTTTTCTTCCAGCTCTTAGTACTTCATTTAAGATAAATAACATTCTATCTATGCTATAGATTTAACTATGCAGCCTTGGGAAATAAAAACAAAACAGCTTCATCCTACTTTGAGATTAAAAGAAAAGTAGAGAAAATCTAAAATAAGAAATGTGTAAACCTCATAGCTGTTGATACTCTGACGACTGCTGACAATTCAGTACATTTTTTTCAAAGAAAAAATATCCGTAAGATTTGCTTTTCGTTTATTACTGTCTACTCCTTTTTCTTCCTTCTAAGGAATTACGAGTAGTATTTGATATTGTAGAATGTACTTTGGCTCTGTTGGTACTACTGGAAGCAGAAACAGAAAGTGTTTTAATGCAAAATAAACATCTTTCGTAAGTTGCTGAAACATTCAATGGGGAAATTCCAAGTCTCTCTTTTATGAATGATGAAATTTTCAGTACTTGTAGAAATGTTTTTTTTTTCTTTTTTTCAAATTAATAAATTTGAGATTTTGGTAACAGAACTGTGAACAGTTAACTGTTTAATACTTGCTGATAAAATCATTGTGGATCTTCATCCTGAAATTACTGTTCTAGGACTTGATTGTAACATGTTTTGACTTCGTAGCAAATTTTGAATAATAGTGATGTTACGATCTAAAATTTTTAAAAGTTTTTGCAATGTTTTATTTGGTTGTATCAGCAACTAGACAGAAAAAAATAAATGTATTTTTTAAATTTACTTGATAGTGAGGATAAAAGTTTGGAATCAGCTGTTGTCAAAGTCATCAATCCAGATGAGCAGTGTGATGGCAGCCTGGAGTTAGAAGCATCTTCTTCCTCTTTAGTAGTAAAAGAGATTCTTCAAGAAGCACCAGAGTTAATCACTCAGCAACTGGCTTATCTCCTCAGAGGTGAGAGATTACTCTTTATATTAAATACTGAAAGGTTTAATGGAGTGTTTCTGAATCTGCTCATGCAGAAAGAGTGTGATCCATTCTTTGGTTAACAATCCCTTTAAAGACCACAGGAAGCTTCATAAAAGAAGCAGGGAGTAAAGAGTTTGTTAAAGAGTAACATTATATTGAATATTAAAAATGTGCATTTAAAAATAGGCATGAGAGGTCTTTGCTGTATCACTAGACAAGAATATTAAATGGAGCTGTCGACACACCAGCTGGGTAGCTAGAAGAGCTGTGCAGTTCTTCAATTCCAGCGGCTGTGCAGTGCTGGCGGCTTGGCGCTGTCTGCCTGTGGACAGCAATATGGGTTGGAATCTAATATTTACATATTAGAGTTTCTTCTGATGGTGGTACCTTTTTGTACAATGATGTTTTAATGGCATGATTCGGAACTTCTGCTGCTTAAAGACGCTGTAACCAAATCTTCATTACGTGTTCTTTTCTTCAGTATCGTTTGTCCAATACAGCACAAAGGATGGGAATTCATACTCCGAAGTATTTTCATTTTTTGTCTTCATAGCTATCATTTACGTTAGTTTGTTCAGTTTATTTGCTGCAGCAAAGTGCTTTCTTAGAAAATAAAGCTGGAGGTAGAAAGGAGTGCTGCCTTTAAGCTAAGTACTTAATTTTAATATTCCTTAATGAATTATAAAGATTTTAGGATGTAATTGTCATTCAGCTGTTAAATACCCTTTTAAGGACATATTTAATGAGGATTATGGAATCAGCCTGCACTTTTAGAAACTAACGGAGTCTTGACTTGTTATTGCACTGATTACTATGATAGCAAGTATGTTCTAAAAAATTACAGAGTTTTTTTTGTGGGGTTTTTTTTCCATGTTTCCACAGAGAAAGTTCTAACTAGCAGAGTTTAGCCTGCCTTCTAAAGCCCTTCCACACTAATAAGCTCTTGTAAACCTTCCTTTAAATTTTTTTTGTAAGTTCCAAATTTTGGTTGAGTAGCTGTCCAGGAAATCCAGGCAAAAGATCAAGCATAGTAATTGATTCTGGAGGCAGAAAACATAAAAGGCTTTTGGGTATCTTACAGGCTACCTGTTTGGTGGTAGAAGGTCAGGAAGTAGTGCTCTGAATTATCAACAAAAACATATGTAAGTGTCATACATGGTAATAAGTGTCCACATGTTTTGGCTCTATAGTTTGAATAAAAATTAAAATAAAGAAGCACTGAAAACGTTTGTTTTCATTTTTAAGGGATGTAGTACCTAATATGTATAGGTATGTTAAAATTAGTAGGTAAATTTTAATTGTTGTGTTCAATAGTGTTCAGTAGTGAATATTTGCAGAACTCTGTGGGTATGTGGGGCAATGGATACCTCCACTTGCATGGTATGAAAAGGGACTGACCAAGCCTACATAACTAGAGCTGTACTTGTGACTGATGTCTTGCCACTTGCACCAGCAATGCAATTTGAGTATATGGAAGGTTGAACAATCTGATTCTGTTTCTTTTAAAATAGAGAAGATTTTTGGTACATAAGAACCCTTCAATACAAATTCAGAAAAGTCAATGAATCTCATTAATTGTTCTGATAGCAGAAAAAATAATTCCTAGATATAGATGCATGTGAATATCAGATCAAGCTACAATCAATCTAAAAATAAAAGATCAAATATAACCCACCTCACATAGTTTTTATGTTTTTCTGTTCATATGATGGTCTTCTGTTTAAGCCCTTGACCTTAACAGATTTTGAGATTCATCTCACGTGTGAGCACAGGAAATGGGAGTGACAGCTTCACTCTTCTTGTTAGGGAATGCACGTGTAGAATCTGGGTGTCTTTCAGTTTAGCAGGATAATCCCAATCTCTGGTGATACTCCACAGGTATAGGAACAATGTAAAGAATGATTCTCTGTTTTTTCCACGTGGTTATATTAATTTCACTGTAAATCTCTGTATTTTTTTTTATGGATCAGTACTGAGGGAATTTCAGAAACAGCAGAAAAATGTGGAAATCAAAGTGATAAAAATTAGGATTTTTTTTTTACTGAAGAGCTAGTAGATCCCAGTTCTGAGTGTCAGAACTGGAATTCATCCTTCATTTTCTGGTTTTTCAGTGAGTACTTTTGTAGAAAGTTTGTAAGATAATACAAATATCTCATATTTTAGTAAATACCATGTAGTGGCTGTAACAGTTTTATTCTTTGTCTCCTTTTCAACTTTCATTGTCACAGTCTGTTAGGAATTTGTTGATTTTAATAACAAGAGCAGATATTCAAAACTTGTATATTTTAACTTTGAACAAATTTTGCCTACTCTCCTACTTGAAAAGAAAAAAGTTGAGGGAAGATGTAAGATGTGAAACTGAGCATTATTACTTTAGGTAGTTTAATATTTAAGGCCTTAATTAATGTTTTTTTTTTAATGGGTGCTTTCCTGTTATCTTTGCCTGCTCATCAAACATGCTATAAGTTAATTCTACCACTAGGCTTTGAACAGAACCTGCTTTGAAAGTCATAACGTTGTATAGCTATATTTGCCTTGTGTTAGAGCTTGCCCTGTCCCTGGATATGTGCCAGAAACAAAGAATTATGGAACCTGCCAGAGTCTTGGGCCTGTATTATTTTATTTCCCTGGAGATGTTTATAAGGGGGCTGGTGCTAAACTCCAGATCCATTAAACTGCTGAATCATTACATTTCTTATGGCAGCCAGCTGGCAAGGATGTGTTTCTAAGCACTCATTGTCAGGTACTCTGGATCAGTGCACTCTCAAAAATACCTCCTTATGTTTATTTGTATAAAACTTTGAAGGATGCCACAAGGTGCAGACTGCAACATGTAAACAGAGACAGATTTACAGAAAAAGCATCAGCAGTTTTTTAAACATGAACTTGCTTTTGCTGTTTACTAGCTGCACAGAAGAAGTCTCTCTGTGCTCTGCTGGGGCAGTTTGACTTTCGGTAGAGAAGACTGGTTTGTTATCCTGACCACCCAGACTAAGGTTGAGAAATGCCCTTTTAGGGCATTTTAGGGATGATGCCAATTTTTTTTCTGTTCTGTCTTGTACGTTGTTCAAATGACTCACATGTTTCTTAATTGACTCATCTCTAGGATACATGTAAGAAAGAACTGCAATAAAAGCTGCAGTTGTTTGAATAGATAATTTTATTATGCATGGAAACAGTTTTCTTGGAGGTAGTGCTCCCCCCAAATTACATTGTATTCCAGCTTTAATGTTAATTACAGGGAAGACTGCTTGCTTGGGTCTGTCTGTAGTTCTGGTTTGATTTGTAGTGTTGTTTTTTTGGAGGGTGAAGGGAAGGAGAGAAAATAGAAAGGGGGGGCAGGGGATGACAAAGTATACTTTCCATCAGGAAGTGTTGCTTTTCCCCTTTTCCCTGTCCTTTGTTTTTGCAGACTATGGAGCAAAACCTCAACAGGAGAAATGCCTATATTTTCATTGTACTGTTTCTCTCAGCCATAAACTTATAATTCAGGAGATGCTTGTGCTGTTCTGTTTTCCCAAAACGACTTCTGCCTTCATTAGATCATGTTTAATATTAATGTGCAGCAATTGCTTTTGGCAAAACTAGTGCTTCACTTCCAAACTGCTTTGCAAAAAGAATAAAATGCATATTGTTTTTTAAGAGGTCTAGCCCATTTTCTAGTGACCTTTCCCTCTAAAAAAAAATAAATCTGTAACACAGTATGATATATGCAAAAAATAATATTTAATCTTGTATTACCTATTATAAATTTATTTTCTTGTTGCTTGTCAGCAGACAAAGCAGCCTCCATCATGCTTTCAGAAACCCGTGGGGAGTTGCACCAGCACTCAGTGAACTCTACAGGAGTTTTCTGAGCCCATGCATCTCTTTTGCAGCAAGTACTTATGAGGGAGCATGTGACTAAGTGGACTAGTGACCTTTGGCCAAGTAAATTTACCTCATGTTAACTGTTGGTTTTTTTTTTTTTTTTTTTTTTTTTTTTTCAAATAGCTGGCATCTTAAGCTTCCCAGAGATACATAGCATGGGAGAAGTGTGTGCCTTTCTTTCTTTCTTGTTGATGAGCATACTGTTAAAGAATGAAAGAATGCTGGTATCCTATTAATTTGAAAAGTCTCTTTTTCTTCACTTCACCCTTTTAGAAAAGTTAACAATTGTAAGCATGACAGTATTGCAGAGACAAGGGAGGGAAAAAGGAAGAAAAGAGGGGAAAAAGCCTTTTTAAAAAGCTTTCTAAAATGTCTTGAGTTCTTATTTCGGGGTGACTGCATTTCCTTCTTACATGAAATAATAAATCCCCAAATTTCTCAGTTTACTCTGCTGTTTGAAGATACTGTCCCCAGTCAAAATACATAAAGAGGTCAGCAAGGAAAGGTTGAGGCTTCCAGATAGATGCTGCAGTACAGTGCGTTTCTAAACACTTTTTACTTTTACATTTGTACAGTAATGTTTATGCCTTAAAAAGGTAAAATCAAATTCAAGACTTTACCTTATTGTTAAAGAAGCGTAGAATTTTCACACAACAAATGCACACTGTTACCTACAGGAAAGCATGATAGGCTGCTGTAGAGTATCCTGGATTCCTAAAACAGTAAAATAGAATAGCATACTATTTTTTTTTTTTTTGAATTTGATAGATGCTAACCTATTTAATATTTTTTAAAATGTATTTTAGTTTTTTGCCTTTTTACTAGGAAAGTTGATTTCAGTAATGTGTGATGTTATAATTGTATCTGTGATGTGCAGATTTTACTGCCATGTGATGTGAAATTTATTCCTTGGATTAATACATCAGATACATGTAGCATAATTGAATTATATTTATGTATAAATATTGAGATTATTTAATCCACATAATATTTCTATAATAAGGAGGTGTGTATTTGGCATGGCAAAATTCATTAGTGTTGTGTGTACTGCTAAAATTTTTGAAGAAGTGCTTTTCATTATTTGCTGTGGTGACAGTGCAGGATAAAAAATAGTAGGAAGGGAACAGTATCTATTTATCTTCTATTCAAGAACCCTGGCTGTTGGTGCTTTATGGCATATGTACCTATCCTTATGAAACACTTTTCTTGTCAGCCTGGTGAGACTGGGGATGGTTATGTCTGTCTCTTGGCTGTTTGCTAAAGACTCAACATTTTGGATTGTAAGAACTATCTTATTGCAGTGATTTTCTCATTGACCTGTCATATTGCAGTGTGATCATACTCTTGTTTGAAATCCCCGTGTACAGCATAGTAATAAATAATTTCAATGCTGACTTGAAGGATTTTATTATCCTTAATTTAATGTGAGTAATTGGGAGTGAAGGCTGTCCATGGATATATTAATAAGTGGGATCTTAGTCTCCAAGGCATGAGAGAGTGGCTTTAGTCCTCCAGCAGTGTCAGGAATATTTCATGTAGCAATAGTGGTCTGAAAAGAAATCAAACTTACCTCTGTATAGTAAGAGCCAATGTAAGTACCAATTATGAAGAAGTTATTTATTGAACCGTATTTCTTTTAATCTTTAAAATTCTGTATATCATTTTGTGATGTGTTTTTTTTTCATATGTTCACTGACAAGGATTCACCTAGAGTCAGTTATGCTGAAATGACCATCATCTTGTGTCACATCGTATTTCTTTAGCTTATCCGTAATGCCTTCGGTAAATTTTATTTGCTATCCTCAGGAATATTTAAAAAAATTCTGGAAATAGTTCCCTGTAGAAGTCCTCATTTGCTGCAAGCAATGCAGCAAAATTGATTAAAAAAAAAAAAACAAAAAACAAAAAACAAAACAAAACAAATAACAGCAACAACTATTTAAGTATAAGCAGTTTAATTTGTGTGTTCAGATGATGGTATATCTTCTATTTTGGCGTATTGCCTGTTTATGATTGCTTCATTGGTGTCTGTAGAAGTAAAGCTGGCAATGTGGCTTTACTGTTTCCAAGCATCCCAACACTTGTCCTAGTGCTTAGATGAACAAGTCCTTACAACATAATGCTAGATGGTGGCTGTGCTGCAAAACTGTATTGGACACACACAAACATTCTGCACAACCATGACAGTATTGGAAGTAGCCATGTAGTTGTGGCATAGATCCTAACAAGATGCCCAGTTTAGAAACTCTCCATGTTTGGAAGATTATTCTGCTTGGAAAGTATTTGATATCCAATCCACTTAACTCACTTATGAAAGCAAGATCCAGATAGGAAAGAAAGGATAATGTAAACATTTTTGTTCCTGTGGTATCTCTTCAGTGTTAACAGGAGGTATTGATTTTTGCCTTTCAAAATTTCAGGAAGCATTCTCTTCAAGTGCATGTCTTCTGAGGCTGACACAATTACAGAGCAGCAGGAGAAACTGCTGTCAATACTAGAGGAAAAGTTTCCAGATCTTCCCCCACGAGAGGAAATTATCTCTGTTCTCCAGGATACTCGGTTTAACCCTCAAGGTAATCAGTTTTTTAGATATTTTACAGATTCTGTGAACCCAAGTAAAACTGAGTAGTTTGGCTAATTATGTGTTTTAAGAGTAGCAGCAGCATGCTTTTCAATGACATTCACATGTAGTTAAATTTAATTTAAAGTTAAATGACTTAAATTTTTAATCACAGAATTGTGATTTCTGAGATTTTGAGAAACTAGGGAACTTCTAGATAATTGCTTTTATGGATGACTAAGCACTGGCACAAGTTGCCCAGAGAGGTTGTGGTATTTCCTCCTTCAAGATCTTCAAAAGCTGCCTGAACCCATAGGCAGTCCTAGGTTTTCCCATAGAGTTTGAGCCAAATGACCTTCAGAGATCAACTCCAAACTCAACTGTTCTGTGATTTTCAGATAAAGTAAACACTAAATTATTTCACATACTTGCTTTACAAGTATAAACTAGCCAAATATTTTTGTAGAATCACAGTTGTGATACAAAGACTTGGAGGCTCTGGTGGATAAAAAGTTTAACAAAATGGCAGTGCACCCCTTAAGCCAGGAAGGCCAACTGTATCCTGGGCTGCATTAAAAGAGGAATGGGCAGCAGGGCAAGGGTGGTGATCGTTCCCTTGTGCTCTACCCTCCAGAAGCTTTATTTGGAGTACTGCATCCAGCTGTGGGGCCCCCAGAACAAGGAAAATAGAGTTTTCCAGAGGAGGCTGTGAAGATGATTGGAGGACTGGCACAACAATCCTATGAAGAAATGCTAAGGGAGATGGGATGTTCAGTCTGGAGAAGGCTTTAGGGAGATTTAATTGCAGATTTCCAGAACTTAAAGTGAGCTTATAAACAAGAGGGAGACCAAATTTTTGCGTAGTCTGATTGTCATAGAACCATGGAATATGTTAAATTTGGAAAAAAGCGCTAAGATCATCTAGTCCAGCTGCCAACATATCACCACCGTTCCCACTTAGACACATTCCTAAATGCCACATCTACACATTTCACCTCCGGTGCCCGCTGAGCCTCCTCTTCCCCAAATTAAATAATCTCTGTCTAATCAGCTGCTACAGACACTTCACAGGCTTTGTTGCCCTTCTGTGGAAACTCCTGCACCTCTCTGTCTATCTCAGTATTTCTGAGAAAATTTCTGATATACGCCAGATCCCATTTGGCTTCTTGGTCAACCCGGTCACACAGCTGGTTCATGTTGAGATCCTTTTCCTCACAGCATCTTTCCACTGCCCAGTGCCTGTAGCATTGCATGGAGCTGTTGTGACTGAAGTGCAGAACATGGAACCCTTGTCTTGTTGAATCTCACACAACTGACCTCAGCCAATAGATCCAGCCTGTCCAGATCCCCCTGTAGAGCCTTAAAGGCCTTTTTAACCCAATTCTGTGATTAATTGAGACTCAGATTCAAGGTATAATTAATATTTTAGGCCATGTCCAGAACAGTGTTGCAGTTACCTACCTGTAGTAAGAGTGGATTTTATCTTGTGAACCTTCCCAAATATATCAAGATGTCAACCTCTAGGGCTCTGTACAAGTGGAATGACTTTGACTGAAACTAAAGAAGTAGTGGGAAAATTTAACCCAATTCTGTGATTAATTGAGACTCAGATTCAAGGTATAATTAATATTTTAGGCCATGTCCAGAGCAGTGTTGCAGTTACCTGCCTGTAGTAAGAGTGGATTTTATCTTGTGAACCTTCCCAAATATATCAAGATGTCAACTTCTAGGGCTCTGTACAAGTGGAATGACTTTGACTGAAACTAAAGAAGTAGTGGGAAAACTGCAGTTCTTTCATTTACTTGTACTAGAAATAATTGAAGATATTTAGACACAGTTTTAGTGATCAATACTGGAAATATTTCCATACAATATTTGATAACAGGATTGTGAAGTTATTCTCTGAGAGGCAGAAGAAAGTTCGTATAATAACTCCCACATTTTTTACTATCTTCATTCAGTGCCATCTGCTACTAAGTTGTTAGCTAAGAGTACTGACCTACTAAGATACTTTTCTATAAGATATTTCAGGTAGCTACAGCACCCGTGCAGACTTGCATTGTTTTTTTTCCACTGTTTTCTGCCTGCCCGTTTGCTGAATCCTCTCATCTGATTTCAGACATTTAATCTGAAATGGTAGTTAAGGACAGAACTTGAGATACTTTTTCCTTTCCTCTTTCTTTCACTGAGGACACATACTAAATTAGTTCAGGGCTATAAGTTTTTGGGTAGTTTCCTGAGGTTTATACTGACATTACTTAAGAAGCTTCTTTTTTTTTTTGGTTTAGTTTCATAGCTATTCTTTGCTAGGTATTATGAGGTACAGACATACATATGTCATAGTATTTATATTTATAAAGTGCCAATGAATTTCTGAAGTCCTTTGAAGACATTTATTTCTGCTGAACATTCTACATTATGTACCTGCTATTTTAGGTTGTTAGGAAAAATTGGCAAAATAGAATAAAATTAAGGAAAGAAATCCTGATTTCATGCAGATATTATTAGTTGACTTGAATTAATGAATTCAGTTGTTAATTCACTTATTTCAGGTTCACTGGTCTGTAGCCCACCAGTAAGTCTATAGAGTACATACAAATATTTTTAAAAGGACAGACTCATAATATATGGCCATCAGATTGTCAGTAGATTGAATGCATTATTTGGACTCCATACAGTAGTATAGTAATGCAGTAGCTTGACTTAATGCAGAAACAGTACCAAAATAATTCATTTCTTTGGCTGTAAGTGGGTATTTGGATCCCTCTGAAAAATCAGTCATGCAAAATCATTTTGGATATTATCTAGCAAAGCTTTTAAAGTCTGCTGACATTTTGTTTGCCACTTTACACTGGAGTAAGTGGCTCTTAGTTTTGTTTGTATAGCTATATGGCTCCTTTGTATTTTGGATGGTATATTACATCTGTGCTTCTAGATATGATATATTTATTATGCAGCTTTTTAAGTCAAGCATCTATTATTGAAGAAACTTAGTCATGCAGATTTTATATATATTGTACTTAACTATATTTATGTGTCCCCTTATACTCCAAAGCAATTCCAGTTTTTCTTCTGTAGTTTTACTCTCTAGTTTCTGCTGATAATATGAGCTTCTGTATTTATTGTACACATATATCCAGGAAGGACATTTACTGTTTGATTTACATAAATCCATTGGTGGTATCAATTTGTAAAGAAAACTGAAAAGATTGAATGGCTTTATATTTTACAAATACCATAATATTCCACACACACTTTTCAGGGTATTATTCCAGAAGTATTTCCAGTGACTTAAGGATGGTCTCTGTATTCCTTTATCAGTAACTGAAATTCATTTAACCTAACAAGTGTGAATATTCACATAATTTCATTTAATTGCAGGAAACTTAGCTCTTCATCCTTTGTTGTTTCTGTGCTTTTATTGATTTTTTTTTTTTTTTTTTTTTTTAATCTGTTCCTTTCTTAAAGAAATTGCCTGGGAATTTTAAGATTTAATTATTAGCATTCATTTGATATTAATATTCTGGTAGTGTGTCCTGAAGTTCAGAAGTCACAGAATTAAAGTTCAAGCTGTGTTTTTAATTAATGTTGCTATATCTGTTCAGCTATGAGTGTCTGGATGTATTCAAATTCTTTTTTTCTGACACAGGTATAAGCATCGAGGAAGTTATGCTGAAAGATCTCAAGGAGATTTCAGATGGAGAAATCAAGATAGCAATTAGCACTGTGTATATGACACTAGAGGTAAGAGAAAGCCTAAATAACATAGTTGGTAACTAGCCCTAATGCATAAGGAAAGAGCTCTTTAACAAAGATTTTGAACCTTGTATATTTTTTTATATAGAGTATATAGGCATATACTCCTTGTATATGAGCAGAGTTTTCACTAACTTTGGAAGAGTAGCTGTTTGTGATCTGACTATCAATGTTTTACTTCTGATTATTTCTTCCTATTGGTTAATTCCATGGTGTATAAGACAGCGACACCAGCAAACTGCAGCCTTTGGGCAGTCTGAAGTTTTCTAGTCACACTTCAGTAGTGTTTTGTCCTACTTTTCACTTCTGTTGTGCTGTACAATTTACATATCTGATCTAGCATTTCCTCAGCTCTCAGAAAGGAGAGTATATCCTTATGTTCCTTACACCCTAAAACTATGTCCCTGTTACAGTCTGAAAGAGGCTGCTGGTATTTTCTTTCTCAACCAGTCCCAAACATTTTGCAGCTTCTTATAGAAAACTTCTGTGATATGTTTTGTGTAATTATGTGTACAATTAATGAATGTACAGATGTTATGATATAGCAGAGATCTTAGCTACATAGTTGTTACACCAAAGCAGGAAACAGAAATTATAGGTATACTCACCTATATCCTAGGCTTGTATGGAAAACTCCAGTGGAGTTGATCTCCAGAGAAGATCCTTCCCTCCGGCAGCCAGCTCTTAAATGGGTCTAGGAGAGGTCGAGCCAGGCTCCACCCCTTCCAGCAGCACAGGTGAATTGCCTTCACCTGTGCTCCCGTGGCTGACTCATGCTTGCCTCAGGTGATTAATCAGAGGCTCAGGCCATGAATCAGCAGTTCCCATACACTCCACTTGTTCAGGTTGACTAAAGGGTGAGCTTTTCCTAATACAGAGATCGGATATATTGCGACGCTTATACAATTTCCATCATGATGCATGTTGGTAAAATTCGAAATGAGTTACTATCGGTGAATGTTGATATTCTTTTATGGGCCAGTGCTCAATGATGTTACTGGAGGCATGCAGTCATGAGGTGCATGTCCATCCTATGCTCCATCAGTCCCACGTAGACCATCACCGGGTGTTGCACATGATCTGACAGTAACACTGGAATGCTTTGATGACATTTCATTCCTTCCTGTGATCCTGAAGGCTCACAGACTCACGGGGAGTAATACAGATGTTTCAGAGGTACCAGGAGGGGAAGGTCTGCTCTCCAGGGCAAGATACAGGCTGTATTTCTGTCCTGGGTCAACACTTCCACTTGTAATGGGGCATGTGCTGACCGCCTGTACCATACCTTCTGGCCTTATGTCTGCAGCTGCATACTAATATCAGGCGCCAAAGGGGGTGTCCTGATCTGCCAAAGGGGCATGATGGGGGTCCCTTTAGCAATGAAAATCAGAGTATTGACCACAATATCAGTAGGCCATGTACCTATTACTGGAGGGACTACTGAGCCTCCCACTTCCAACGGTCTTCCCCATGGTGCAAATAGGCCACACCATTTGGGTCTTACCTGCACCTTCCAAGGCTATTTTATTCTATGGGTACCTGGATCTAAATTCTCAGGGGCAGGGAGCAGAAGATTATTTTGTGTCCTCTAGCAAGATGGACTGTTGTTTCAGGCACGTTTCAGGCAATGATCTCAGTCTCATCTTAGAGCAAGCATTGCAATCCCGGCATGCCTGGACGATGTCAGGTAGCTGTATGGGCAGTCCCCATGCTTTAGCAGCTGCCCACCTTGTCTTTTGTCCTACATGCCGCAGCTTCTGATGTAACCAGTAGGCGATGTTCTCTGATGGTGAATTCTCAATCCATTGAACTCAGGCCAGTGTATCAGCTTCATCGTTTCTCGGTGACTATAGAGGCTGATGACTAGAAACATAATAGACACGTACAGTCCTGTGTTTGACCGTATTCTATATGTCTAACCACATGTCCTTGCCCCAGATCGGCTGGGCATGGATAGTTAATTCCTGAGTGGCCCACTGTGCAATCCAAAGAGTGAGCCCCTGGTACACAGCCCAACGATCTGTACAGATATTCAGGATACCATCACCAGGTTCCTTGGTTGTAATCATCCACACGGCTCGCAGTTCTGCCCATTGGCTGCTCTGACCATCCCCCTCGTCATCCCCCCCCTTCTGATTCCTTCACTGTTCTTGATACTTCATCTTGCCCAACCGGGAGTCCATACTGTCTTACGTTAGTAATACGGCGTGGTTTTGGCAGGCAAACAGGCCCATGTTTCTCATGGCCTCTTAATACTGCCTGCACCGCCCGGATACTGATACATCTCTGTCGAAGTCTGAACTCTCCCACAGTTGTCTGGAGAGCCAGACCCCATAGAATATCTATGCCCAAGATGTATTCCTGGGGTGGGGCAATAGATACCTTATACTCCTGGGATGGGGTGCCAAACCCTCAATTTCAACCATGTTTGGGTGACAGTAATAGTCTGTCCCCGAAAACCACCACTCATCACTCATTCTCCATCAAATTTGGTCGGATCTCTGTAGATAATTGATGTTTCTGCTCTGGTGTCCACTAATGCCATTACTCTCTGAATATTTTTTCAGGACCAATAAATCATTAATTCTATGTAGGGCCTCCGGTCCCATCTGGAGAATTCATCGCCATGAATTGTGCTATGGCCAATTCTTTTGCTTACGGTGGCTCAGGCATCGTTGACTGAGACACCTGAGGTGTTGACTGAGGTGACTTTTTTTTCCTATTAGGAACAATGAAATCTTCTAAGTCCCATGTCATTGTTGGTATTCTCTCTATAACCCTTACCCTTGGTTTCTTAGGGTAGTTCTGAAATTTTTGATTGTCCTTTAGTTGTATCTAAAACTGGAGAAGGACATGGTTGGGCTGGCATTTAATCTTAGCAAATTGGACCCAAGCCCAAATAAAGTCATTAAACTTTTTTTTTTTGGGAAACCATTATGGGTCCCAGTCGAAGAGCTTGAGTAGCCAGCATCTTGGTTTTAGTCACTAGCAGGACCTCAGCTTCTTCTAATGTTCGAATGTTGCGCCTGGTCTGCAGGTGTTCTGTTTCTCCTAGGTTGGCCACTAACTGGGCAGCCTGCTGGACTACCACTTCTGAGGCCATTAGGGATTTAATATAGAGACCAAAGTGCCATATAGATGAGAGGGAGCTTGCTGTAGAATTAAGTCTTTCATCCCTTCTGAGAATTTGACTGTATCAGGGCCATCAAATGTATCTTCATAAATTGCTTTCCTTATGCCTAGTTCATGGATATGATTTTGAAGGTCCTCCATGGAGGACCACATTGCTGTATGTAGAGGTATATCAGATTTATTCGGCCATACCATACGGCAGGCCTATGTTAGGTCCTGTGTATATCCTATGTTAGATCATTCTATTATAGAGTGGTTTTCATCAGGATATTGGTTACCCGCATATAACCTCTGCCTGAGAGCAGGATGGACAGTCATGGTGGCCAACTTGGCTATTTCTGGGCCATTCACCAAAACGCTTCCCTGTTAAATGCCAAGTTCTTGCTCTAACTTTTCGATACAGTCTTTCAAAAGTTGGTTTTCATTCTCTAAAGTATTATTCCTCATTTCCATATGATTTAAAGCATTTAATAGTGGCCACGCCACTGTGGAAGCAACTAATTGTCTTTCTTTCGTGATCAGTATATCTTTGCTAAGTCGCTGAAAGTAATCTATCATGCAGTATGAGGAGATATTTCCCATAAAACGTAAGGGATCCCATTTTTCAATGATGACTGCTCGTTCATAATAGGGAGATCCCAAAGTCCTGGGATCATTTTATTTAGGGGGGCAACCGCTTTTTTTTTTTTTTTTTTTTTTTTTTTTTTTTAAATCTTCTTTTTTCATTTTGTCAGTTTCAGTGAATGGGCTAGTAATTAGGAAGTAGATTTAGCATTATAGTTTATTTAAATTGTTTCATAGACTATGTAGAGTGTAGGTCTTGTGCTCCACACATCCAAGTTCCATCTTGACTGTTCAGAGTCATTATGACCTGAAACTATTCCTTGTGGCAAATTGAATTTAGCAACAATAAGTTTTCACAGTCCTAAAAGCAGGCCAGTCTTCAAACCCTTCTCCGCAACTGTGTAACATTTGATGACAGCACAGTTTACTCAAGGAGTGGCAATACCTGTTGATCAGACAGTAGAAATTTCACAGTTTTCTGTCTGTGAGTGCATCTAGTGGCTGTTGAGGAAGAAAAGTAGATTCCGTTATAGGTAAAAAGAACAAATGATCGGAGTTTTACTGAAGACGGATTATTTCTAATCATAACTTTGGTATTTTTATTTCTTAACCTTACTTAGCATTTTTGGGCTTCTCCACCTTTTGCTGTGAATATTATATTAAAGTGTTATTTTTTTCAGAAGAGTAACTACTTTTTTTTCAGTTGTGACATTTATAAACTCATACTTTGTTCTAAAAAAGATTGTTAATTTCGTTGTCTGGTTTGAATTTTCTGCCTTACTGCAGTTTGCTCAAGCATTTTCTGAACTCTCTTATTTACAGTATTTTGTAGTATGAGACATTTTTAATTAATTAATCAATTAATTAGTTAATTAATCTTAGCTGTTGGGGATGATATGGTCTCACTGTGGTAAAGTGGGTGGCTTGCAAAAACGTTCTGTGCTAATTATTTCACTTAGTATTGGAAACATAGTTTTCATTAAGGAATTACAAACAAAACTGTCCAGTTCAGTGTTCCATTTAGATTTTGGTTACAACGTGAAAATTCAGAAATTTTAATGGCTTTTGGATTTTTCCAGCAATTATCATGCTAATTTTATATTCATCCTGAAAGTGCTCTGCAGGCATTACCTGACTAAGGGAATGTGAAGCGCAGACTTGCTGCAGGTGGCAAATATGTGTATGTGATTGTTTCTTTAGAAATTTCACAAGGTCAAATTATTTCCTGAATCAACAGATAAGTAAAAACATTTTTCATTAAACTGCTTTCTATAGGCTCAATTATTTGCTTT